GGATGGAACCGAATTACGCTGGCTTCAACGAGATTGATCGCAACAAACGGCATAAGGCCGGATCAGACTGGTTTTCGGCAACGGGTATAGCAGCGCCGATACTGAGGTTAACCTCCTCCGAGGTGCATTGGCATTATTGCGTAAGAGTAACAGTTGTATGAACATTAACTTTCGGAAGTCCGCGCCGACGTTGTTACTATGTTTTGTAACTTGTTTTAAAGTCCGCGCCGACTCCTTGGATCGTTGCTAGATCCCCCGCCGTGTCGCGCGGAGGGAAGCATGAGCGGCGCCAGAGCAGCCGCCAGGAGGGTCCTGACGACGACCCGAGAAATCCGCGCGGACGCCCACAAGCGGATGCTCAGGTTCTTTCTGCATCCACGCTCAGGAGCCTTCTCGGCGGTGTCCGAGCACATGGGGCTGTAGGATCGCGGCGCATCTCCAGTGTCTCGCAGATGCATTGGCGAGGCCCCAGGCCATCAAAAACGGATGCGGGACGAAACACTACAGTGGAGGCCCGACCACAAGAAACCTTCCACACAAGAAACCCCACCCTGCAACCCCCCAGGACGTCCTTGGACTTGGCGGGAGCGTCGCGCTTTCCCTCGCAGAGCCATCGGACCTCCAGAAGCCCAGGGCACCCTGGAGGCAGGCAGGGTGCCTCTTGGCATGGGCCTCCCCTGCATTGACTACCTACCAGACCACCCCAACCCAAGCCGAAGACCCGAAGTTGACCCGAATTTCGGGTTGGGGGGGGTACGGGTCCCATGTGTTTTTTCAATGTTCCCCGACCCCCCCCCACACTGGAAATGGAGGGCTAATTGAGGCCTTCGGGTTGGGTTGGGGTGGTTTGGTGAATGGTGATGTAAGGAGCCGAACTCTATACACCGACGCCTTTCTCTGGCCTCACACTGAATCTCGCTCGGGAAAGCGGATCCTGGTGTATACGGGATCCTGGTGTATACAGTCTTCGCTGCGTCCCCAGGAAAGCGGGGAACAAGTATACACCACACCACCCCGACGTCGTCCCCGACCTTCCAAAAAAGTCCTGGGACTTAAAAACCCGCCCGCCACTGGTAATGTATATGCTCCAATTTCTTTGGAGTCCCAAAACGGTGCGGTGTCGGACCGTGCGGTGACCTCGAAACCCCCAAGAAACCTCACCGCACGGTCCGTCACCGCACGGTCTTGGAACCCCGGAGGCCCCTGTCGCCCGAGACGTCCTGGGAGAACGAACTCGAGTCCCAAAACCGTGCGGTGACCCCGAGTCCCCACCGACTCACCGCACGGTGTGGTCACAGCCCCCTTTGGGGACCCCCGACAGTTTCCGATGATGCACACCCGAAGAGGTGGAGGAGGAGGGAGAAGGAGGAGGAGGAGGAGGAGGAGGAGGAGGAGGAGGAGGGGAAGGAGGAGGAGGAGGAAGAGGAGGAGGACGAGGACGAGGACGAGGAGGAGGGAGAAGGAGGAGGAGGAGGAGGAGGAGAAGGAGGAGGAGGAGGAGGACGAGGACGAGGACGAGGACGAGGAGGAGGAGGAGGAGCAGGAGGAGGGGGGGGGAAAGGGGGGGGGCGTCGGGACCTCCTTCTGGGGCCGCGCGCGGAGGGCGCCGCACCGTCGCCGCACGCCTGGGCCCAGAGGGCCTCCGCGTGCCCCCTCTCGGCTGCCGCCCGGTGCGGGTGTGGTGTGTATATATGCATATACATCGATGTATAGGTCTGTGTATATATATATGTATATGCATGTACATACCTATACACATACATCATAAACGTACCTACACATACAACATAAGCATGCATGCATATACAGGTGTGTGTATGCATGTAGGTATGTATATGCATGTATGTACATATACATACATATACAGGCGTGTATATATATACACATATATACATACATATACATTTATGTGTAGGTATGTATATACACATACATTTACATAGCATACCTACATGTGTAGGATAGACATGTATATATATATGTATATACATAGTATAATGATCTATGAAAATGTACATAAATGTATACATACATATGTATACACATACATATATAGATACATATATGTATGTATACATAGATTGTCATTTACATTTTATATATATGTATATATCAGGAGATCCCACCTAAAGAAACAGCGAAACAGCTTCGGATCAAGGCGCCAGCTGTCGTGTGGCACCTCAAGTCTGCTCTGGTGCCCTCTCTCTGCGTCAGCCCTGCCAGCCCGCGGCACAAGCACCCCAACCAGCCTCCATTAGTGAAGAGACAAGGCTTTCTCAAAGTTGGGCAATGCTTTTCAGCCGTTATATATGTATATACATGAATATATTTATATATATATATATATATATACAAGACTGCAGTGGCGCTTCGCGCCATGCACTTTGGTCCTTCAAGTTTGGCATGCAGGCGGAATGCAAGGAAGGTCAAGCTGACAGTTTAGCGATAACTCCCTGTTGCCTTTTCCAGCATCGCCGCTAACATGATGTTTTTCGTTATC